GACCCCTACTAGGAACCCTGAAGTCTAGACTCACGATTTGCTTGCAATATTGTGTAACAAAGGGGGAAATTGGCACACTAACGAGATGCCAGGCCCCTGAGTAGATATAGCTTACACTAGACATAAGAAAGCAGTGCTACAAACGTATTGCATATAATTGGTCAGGACTCGTTTGCGTAACTTGGTCATTTTGCCAGGATGACTTAGTTGGACGTGTCTTGTGCAAAGTCCTCTGCTGTAATATTTATGATTCCCAGCGTCGGACCGTGGACTTAGTACGTTTCCAGACCTTTTGCCGGCATCTTCTATGAGTCGTCATTCTCACCAGCTACAACTCGTCAAAAGAACAGGAATTTCGCTGATCCCTGACATGATGCAGCTTGAGGCCCAAAAGGGCAAGACTCACTTTTGATGCCGACTACGATGTCGGCGAAACTTCTGAGAATGTAGCAAGTCCACGATCCGACTGGGAATTATGATAACTACTTTATCATAGGACTTCTGACAAGGTTCACGATACGAAGTCTCCTGACAACATGAAAACGGTCTCAGACCACTTCTGTACACATTCTACTTTTGATGATAAATTGTAAGAATAAACACTAGGCCTAGCTATAGCATCACTTCTGCTCCCGATTTTAGTAAACAGCTACATGGCTTAATTAGAAAGCCGTATAATACAAGAAGTAGGTTGGTTCTTGAGCTATTGGTCATATACTACTTTATCGTATGGCAACGTGGCAAATAAGGTCTAGGAGAAGTGATACGTCCATCATGGGACTGGAAAAGGAAAATAGTCTACTCATTTTCGATGTTCTAATTAGTAGGGAGAAAGAAATTCAGTGGAAGTGTATTTAGAAAACAGTTGAATGTGGTGTCCCTTATACATTTCTTTCACAATACTTTACAGAGATTAGTATATCAAATATAATAATGAACATGTGTATTTTTTATGCTACTTATCGGATGCAGATACTTGGCCGATTAAAAAAGTTTTTGCTTGAGAACAATGACCATTAAGATTAATTGAAAATCGCTTCAAAGTATTAGCGAATTGAGTTATGGAGGCACCTATTTGAGGCAAAATAGGCAGCACTACTTGGGTCTTAATGTTACTGTAGTGTTCATTCTCAGAAAAGATAGGCTAATTACTGGGCAAGAGGGACATGCGAACAATTTATGATAGAAAAAAGTAACATTTCTCAGTGATGGCATCTTTAGGGAGATTTTGATCTCTCTAAGTCGAGTTTCCATGATTTCGTCCATGTTGCAGCGCCTATGTGTAGGAGATCCACCGATTTAGGCTATCTGAACGTACAACATTCTCCAAAGTATGCTGTTTCGAAAAATCTCAGCTGCTTTAACATATCCTACACGTGGCATCTTGTGGATTAGTCAAAACCAAATTAAGCTGGAATTGAAGACCATAAAAGTATACGGAGAATTAGTGAGTTTATTGAGCGGTGTATTAAACTAAGCGGAAACTACTCGTTGTTGGGTCAGATTAGAGTGGAGGACTGAGGAAGAGGAGGCTTCATTATACTCAAATCCGGCTTTTATTTCCAAACCCCACGCGTGTCACGAGCATTACATGCGCACAACGCTGGTGCAATGGGGCCCTATCACATACGACAACATTGTGGCTTAGGGCAGGATGAAGCTGTTCGGTCATAATCACATCATTTTCGCGCTTTACCTGCAGCTACTGCTTGACATCCGCAAACACTATTAAATAGCATGTATGAAAAGCCAGAAACGTATATAAAACGTAAAAAGGATTGTAGCCTGTCTCCTTGTTTTTGTGTTTGGTGAATTATTGTTAAGCGTGGTGTCCTTCGCTACCAGCGTCTCATTAGTGACGAAAGCTCGGCAAGGTTTCGTCGGGGTTGCAAGGGCTGTATACCCAGGGCCTAATCGCACAAATCTCTTCACAGCTCTAAGGCAACCCATCTTCGATTTTCGATGAGACCAACTTGCAGATCCCTTCCACTCTTCTCTTCGAACGAAATGAAAAGTACTCAGCATCAATCTGTTAAGGGATTCTTCGAAAAACAATTTTTCAATATATCCACCGTGTCTTAATAGTGTTTGGCGCTGATACTTGGCGTTAGTTATCACTACAAGTATACTTGGTCTCTTGTATTGGAGGCTTTGTAAGGCCATGCCCCACCATGTTTTTGTGACGTTCATGTTCCCCATTCCGTACTTTAATCCAACCTTATTGCTTTTCAGTTCCTCTTCTCCTTCCTCTCGATTTACCTCATCACGCGCTACGCTCGCGACGAGGGCATCAAGATGGTGTAGGTTTGCTCAACTATCATCGACTTTGGCCTGGTTTTGGGCTCCCAAAGTTTTGCTTTTTAGACATTGTCTCCTGCATATGTATTCGGTCCTATTCTATGTGACCGATTGCCTAATTTGTTGGATCAGATTTTTCAGTTTCATATTTTTTTCTATTTCGCATTACACTGAACACTCATTGCCTGCTCATTAATTTTTTCGCTGCCCTTTCTCTACGTACTACTATTCATTGGTGTGAACTTTGATCTTTCCTCTCATTAAAAGTGCTCAATTCGTCTCGCTTTTCTTTGTCACTTGGTTTCCTATACATGGCGTTGGCTACCATCCAACTATGCGCTTGCGTGACCGGGTGGAATTAGGCGCCTAGGTAATGACATATACTCTCCGGCCGGATCCGTTCACTCAATCATCATGAGCCTGTTGCCGTGGCTGTACTGGCGACGGTTCGAAATTTGCTAGAACCACCATTCATTGCTCAAGCGTGTCTGTTTATAAAACCCTGGTAGCACTTTTCCGTTGTATCTCGACCTTTGTGCATAATGGTGCTTTTCTCCTACGCGACGCTTCATTATCGTTTGATCGATTGTTTCTGCTCTCACCTTTCAGCCTGAATTGAGCTCATCTGCTCCAGCCTTAAACCAGCCACCAACGCCGCGAAACCGTCTAATAAGGGGACGTTATTGTCATAGTTGTAGTTATGGCTAAGCCCCTGGGCTTAATTTCTATTGCATAGTCCCATGGGTTTTCCATTCGCTCTTCAGCTTTTCCGGCTTACTGTGTGTCTTGATTGTTGAGCTTATTTCCATTTCGAGTGAGAGTGTTGAGTGGAGAGATTCGCAGGTCGGTTCCATCAAAAGACGACGGCGGATTCCTCTTGACCAGCTGTCGATTGGCTTTACCGGAAGATTCACGCTGACGCTGTCTCCGAGCCAATCTTCGATTCCGGTGAAAAGGTGCTAAGCTCTCGTCCGTCATATGACGAACACATCAGAGCAGGGTTTCATCGTCACAACAAAACTCCAGCTAACGAGTCAAGAATACATTAAGATAGGAAAATAAGTGTAATTATGAGCTTACTTCCATTTCCAATAAAAGTGTTGGGTAAAGAGATTTGAAGAGATACGAAAGCTTAGCACCTTTTCACCAGGGTCGAAGCAGATTACTTCGGAAACACTTTCAGCATGAATCTTCAGTCAAGAGGAATCCGCCGTCGTCTTCTGGTGGAACCGACCTTCGAATCTCTTCACCCAACACTGTCACTCGAAATGGAAGTAAGCTCAACAATTATGAAACGAGATTCCTCGAAACCTAACTTTTCTAAGCATGAAGTAACCCACTAAATCGTACGAGGCCTCATTAAGATCGCAAAGTTTGGTGTGAGAAATAAGTAGAATTTCAGCCGACCACACTTCTCGTTTAGTGTTAATGGTTAGTGTTCGTAAATGATGGTCTCTGGCTCAGACGATGTCCGCCATGATAAGCGACGACAAGCTCGACACGGATGTAAGACGAGGATGAAACTTGTCTTAAAAGGCCTCTAGCTTTGCTCATAACTTTTGCAGAACGCCCTAAAGGGGCCGCAGTTCGAAGACCTGTCTGCCACTGCATTTTCTCTTGTTTCTGCTCATCCTCGGCACCCAATAGACTAATTCCTTTGCATTCTAAAAAGTTTACTTTGAATTTGTTGTGGCCGTGAGTATTGTATATGAATTTTAAAAGCCGTTTTCTTGTTAAGATTGTTCAGTTGGGTATTTACGACACGACCCATCGAGCTCACCTCTGGGCCACAGTTCACTGTTGCTGTCGGGGATGTGGGCATCAATACTTCCTTCCTGTTGGAGACGCTCCCTGGGCTGCGGTTGTTTGGGGTTGAGACATTGTGTCTCCCAACTGAGTCTCTCGGACCCACCAGTCGAGCCCTCCGATCAGGCAGGCGTGGTGATCGCATTTCGGGCAATTTTAATGCGAATCCGAGCCTACTTTCGAGGCCGGAACGACCAGCCTCCGCAATTCAACATTCGCGCAATCCCGATTTTTGCAGCATTGGGTACGCTTGGAATCATATGTTCATGTCCGTTCTCTCTGACCATACTAACAACCGGAACCTTTTCTTCACTCTGCTCACTCGTGGGTTGCCATACGTCTGGTGGACTCCGTTGGGCTTCCTTTCAACGCTCGGACTTTCACTCGTTACCTCGTCAACTCGACTGTTATCTCCATTTGCCCCAGCTCACAATTGCCAATGATTTCGGCACAATTGTGTGGCGAACCAATCCGCACGTGACTCAACGCAAATGGGATTGAAGAGAGGGCACGGTGGGTTAGTTGGAGTCGCGGGAGTCGGCTGTGTGCCGCCAACTTCCAAGACGGTTTGGCTCTGCTTCCCGCTGCTTGTTGCCGGTTCCGTCCAGCCGGATTGGCCTGTCTGTCCGGTTTGCCCACTCTGGGCAGTCGGACCGGTTTTTGTGGATCTCTCGACTGTACACGGCCGGACTAGCTTCGCTCTCGTTGGCTGAGCCTTCGGAGAAAGACAAAAAGGGACAGGGCCGGAAGCTGGACGTACCAGTGCTTGGGTGCGTCAAATGAACGAGTAGGCTTGGAGGGGGCGCGCTTAGTTCGGATGCCGGGCTGGCGTTGGAACTCGGCTGCTAGCCAATCAGCACGCCTCGGGCACACCGACGGTACAAGCTGTTGCCGATCTGCCCGACGGTCGGTCGCTTCTTTGGGCGCAATGAGGCGAATCCGCGGAACGCGGAAAGTTGGCCGTAATCACCGAAGACGATCGAGGCGAGACAGGTAGATAACGGCTCTTCGATTTGCCCAATCCTTGGTTTCACGCCCCGACTGCAATTCTGCCATTTCGGCCAACGCATTGTCCTTCGGCCAGTTGCCTCGGCTGCGAGGGCGTGAATTCGATGCGTTCGGGGCTGTACGATTTGCGCGACCGGGACTGGGTCAAGACATGCAAGCCAGCCAGCCCAGAATAGGGAATACGAGTTTTCAATTGGGTCCGCTGCCGTTTATTTCAGTAGCGAGGCCCAATTGCTATCAATCGTCTTGATTCGAGTTCAGGCAAGGGCAATAATCCGCGTGGAAGGTGCTTGGTCCCGTGTCATCTGTCCTAAGATTCGTGATCTCCAGCTACGGAGCTTTTTCCGGGCATGTGCCCAAACGTTACAAGTTAGCAAAGTGACAAGTCAGGGGAATCTCCTTGACTCTTTCTATCTGTTTGGCGATGGGCCCAGCCAATGGTCTGATGCTGGAAATCACGAATCCTGTGGACTAGGTACGTTTTATAAGGTCTTACTGACGTCCCAACCAAGTT